CATAGACGCACGAACCACACACCTGCAGACACATATGCACCACACACACCTGCATAGACACACGCACCACACACCTGCATAGACGCACAAACCAGACACCTACAGGCCCCTCACGCATGCAACCAGGCCTGCTCTTGGGTCTTCTTTCCATGTTGTGGGCGGTCATGAGATAAGGACTCCCCCAGTTCCCAGCAGTCCCTCATTGCTTAGATGAACCCCTGAACCTGGGGGCTGGGAGGGGTCTGACCACTCAGGGCTGCCAGGCCTGAGCCCACCTGGATGTCCAAATCTTGGGCCCTTAGCTTCCCCACAGCCTCATGGGAGAGCACATTTAGGGTCTAAGCACATCCCAGAGAGTGGTCTCAGGACCATCCAGTGGGTATCCAGGCCTCAGGGCAATGTAGCTGACACACTGGCTTCTCAAGGGGAGATTAGGGCAACAACCTGCTTGGGTCTGACTCTGAGATTACCGCTTGTAGTCTCCCAGGCTGGATGGAGGCCCTGCTTGCCCTCCTGCTGGTCCCTGCTCTAGGTCATGACCCATGTGCACCTGTGGATGCTGTGTGTGAGGGCAAGGCCACCAGGGAGGGGTTAATCAGGGCTTCCTATTTCCAGCCAATTGACAGGCATGTCAGCAATCCCCCTGGGAGAGCAGAAGGATGCACAAGAGCAGAGCCTAGATTTTAAGGCAGGTGCCAGTTCTCTGTGCTTCTGCTCCTATATCCTGGAGAATTTCTGTTGCCCTCGCCCACAACACCAGCAAAGGCCCTTTAAGGCAGACTCCCTCCAGCAAGGGAAAAGGGGTCAAGGAAGGGCACTCCACCCACTCCCCCTGTATGACCTACAGAGTGTGCAAAGGTTCAGGTTCCTATGGCTCACCCCCTCCTTTCCCTCCTGGGAGGGCAGGCAAGGCCCCTATCCCTCCACATTCAATAAGTCAAACTCACACTTGAGTGACACTGGCTGTTGAAGGGTTTCCAACCCCAGTGCCCTGGGGCACCAGAAAGAATCGGGGGCCTGGCAAGGGGAAACCTGGAGGATGAGACTCAGGCTGCCACTGCAGGGCACAGCTGCTGAACACACAGAATTGCACATCTGGCCCTGATGCAACGCACTCCTTCTGAGCTTGCCCACACGAGGCACAGGAAAGCACTCATGCGCGCACAAACCCTGCAAAGTTGCCGACAAAGTTCAGTGCCTGCTTCCATCCAATCCACCAGTCTGGAGATGAGGGGCCTGCTGGGGACATTCCAGGGAATACTCTGCTGCACACACCATCCACCCACCCCTACCTGCACCCCGAACTCTACAGACGGGAGACAGGTGCATTGGAGAGCGAAGGAGTCTCAAAGACGCTCAAAAACACAGACACCTAAAGCTATCCTACACCAGGTCAGGTAGAGTTACCTTTTCTCCCCCACCTCAGTTAAAGACATCCCTAGCACTCAGGCCAGCTACAGCAACACTGTGGGTGCGGGCAGGCATCCCAGCATCGCCCAGGTTGCTGCCCCTCCCCTGTTCCTTTCAGCTACATCTCTTTCCCCTCCTCTCATTTTCCACTGCCAATCCCAGGACAGAGAACTGGACAGCCCTCCTTTCTCCTGCCTCTGCACTTTTCCCGGCCTCCTCCCCCAGCCCTTCCATCTTTATTAATAGCAGCAGCTTCCCAATACTGGGGAAAGTGTGGGCTGTGCCTGCCCTGAATGGGGGTGGAGGACACAGGGGGTGGAGGACACACTTCCTTTAAGAAACCAGAGGCCTATCCTGGCACACAAACCCAGAGCTACCCCATCCGAGTGGAAACTAATTATACAGTAAATTGTATTTGCTGTCCCCGCCCCAGCCTGTGGTGGCCCTCCTGCCTTTTGTTGGTTGTATGTGTGTGTTTTTTAATTGCTAAACAGTGACTCACTCTGACTGGTCCCCGCTCCACAGGAAACAGCCCCATCTCCAATCATGCCTTGAGCAGAGCTTCCTCATACCCAGCCTTGCCACTGGCCTCCACTAACCTCCAAGGGCCCCCACCCAGAGACACTCCCAGTCCCACCGGAGCAGCCTCGCCTCCACATATCACACCCAGGCCCCAGGCCCCAGGCCCCAGGCCCCAAGCTGGGGCTTCAGAGAGGACTCCAAGGTGTCAGGCCAAGCCCTTCCTTCTGGTATGACTCAACCCTGAAAGCCAGAGGACTGGGGAGGGACCTAGGAGGAGCCCCCTCCACTGAAGGGGACGGAAGTATTGCCTCAGTCCAGCTCCAAAACCAGGCCCAGAGGCCTGAGGGGGGGAGGCGGTTTTGACATTGGCCGCGGCCGCAGGGTGTATACAATGGGAGGGGACGCGGTTCTGTAATCACCCAGCCGGCTGCCCAGGGGAGCCAGCTGCCTGAAACCAGATTTCAAGGCGGCTCAACCTTAAACCCACAGGATTCTTTTTCCGTCTTCAACTTCCCCTCCCCAAATGTGGGAGGGCGGCAAGAGGGCTGGGCTGGGCGAGAGGGCCGGGAGGATGAAGACACATACTTCAAGGTTTGTTCATGCAGCCCGTGCAACACACAGGCACACAGGGCAGTGATTCTCACACAGGGAGAGCCGGCTCTCGGGAGGAATCCAAATAGCGGAGTCGCTGTCGGGGCCTCGCTGGCTGGCTGCTCAGACCCTGTCCAGAGAGATGGCCGGAGTTCTGCTCTCCCTCCGGAAGCTCCCCCCGCCCCCCCAATGTGTTTCCAATAGCGCTGAAAACTAACATGGCTGCTTTTGTTTACTTCCTCATTGGTATGCCAGCATCATGGATCATGTCAGCCACAGCGGCGGCACCGGGACACTCATTACATAAACAGCAGCTGGAGAGGCAGGACCGGGGTCACTGCCTCGGTGACTTCCCCTAGGGCCTACAGCAGCAACGCTGGGGGAGGGAGCTGCGCACCACGGAAAAGCGACACCCAAACTCTACCCCTGACGGTCCCACGCCCAATCCCATAAAGCACTCAGAAGACGGACCCTGTGCGCACAGGTGCGGGAATGTACTAAGTAGCGACTCGGGCCCCTTCTTCCCAGGACCCTGTCCCCAAACTTTCACAGAAGAGTTTGGCCAGGGGCTATTGGCCTGATGTCACAAGAGTCAGCCTGCCGGGAAGGGTGGTCCCCGGGCGGGCGGGAGGGACTGTGTTTGTGCGTGTGTGTGTGTGTGCGCGCGCGCGCGTGTAGGGTACTTGCCCGGATTTCATTCCTTCGGATCTCCACGTCGCACACCGAGTGTCCCTGATGCGCGCCGCTGTAGTAGCAGCAGTACTGGCAAACTGCCACCTGCTCGGCCTCGCAGTGGTAGAGGCGGTAGGCGTTGTGCTGCGGGCAGCTCCAGGCCCGCACGTCGTCCGCCTCCACCAGGAGGTGCCCGCGGGCGGTGGAGGGCTGCTGCAGGTGCGTCTGCACGTGGGACTGGCAGCAGGGAGCCTCGCAGCGCAGGCAGACCTTCTGCGCGGGCAGCGGGGGGCCGCGGCGGCAGAACACGCAGTGCAGCGCCGCCGGCGGCTTCTCCACGTGCAGGGCGTTGAACTTCTCCACGATGTTGGTGAGCTTCAGGTTCTTCTCCAGGCCCGGCTTCTGGTTGTAGGCCTGGTTGCACTCTGGGCAGCGCACAAGGCCGCTGTCCTTGGCCCACGCCTCGCCGATGCAGCCCCGGCAGAAGTTGTGTTTGCACGGCAGCTGCACCGGCTCCACGAAGACGTGCAGGCAGATGGGGCAGATGAGCTCCTCCTCGAAGCAGTTTTTCCAATTCTCCGCCATGGCGGCCGCGGACAGGGGGCCGGGGCAGGCCTCCCCGACTCCCCAGCCCCAGGGGTCCGTCCGGAGCCGCTGTAGGCCCACCCAGCCCCGAGCTTCGGCCCCAGCCGGCCCCGACGGTCGCTCAGTCAGCAGCGCCTTCCGCGTGCCCGCCCCCCGGAGGAGGGAGCCTCGGTCCTCAAGCCGCGCGCGCAGCCCTCTGCGTCTCCTCCTCCTCCCGAGCGCCTAGCGGGAGGTGGCGGACTGCGCCAGGGCCGCGGCCGGGGCTCCAGCCTTGGAAGGGAGCGCCGGGGTCCAAATTCCATATAAGAGGCCGCCTCCCCGTCGGCGCAGCTAGGGCAGCGGCGGCCCGCGGCCTGCGCTCGGCCCCGCGGCTGACATTGGGGCGCGCCCCGCGGCAGACGGAGCCTGGGAGCAGCACACTTCCTCCGGCGGCGGCGGCGGCGGCTCCCGCCCGGCTTGTCGGCGCCGCGCCTCCCTCGCAGGGGCCGGGGTCCGTGGGGCCGGTAGGCGAGCGCGGCCGCGCCGAGGCTGCTAGATCCGGACGGAGCGGGAGGGGCGGACCGGTGGTCCCCGGGCCAAGGTGCGGGCGTCCCCCGGCTGGCCGGCCGGGCGCGGGCTGCGGGGCGCGGGCGGGCCGACTCCGGGGCGCTGCGTGCGCTCAGGGGCAGTCATTCAGATGAAATTCCAGTCCCCGGCCAGAGACACCAGCCCGCCTCTGCCTTCCTCCTCCCTTCACAAATAGAAACGGAAGGGGGAGGGAGAGAAGTGGAAAAAAAGGCAACCGGCGAGGGAGGGAGGAAGAAGCCCCGGCGGCGCTCCGGCCTGACCCCCGGGCGGCTACTTCTGCGCTCCCCTGAGGCCCGGCGCCCCCGCAGCGGAGAGACCCCGCGCGCCGTCTCCGTACTGGGCGGGCGCCCGGCTCTGCCGAGGAAAACAAGGATTGATCAAACTAGAAAGGAATTTTTCTCAACTGCTAATGAACAGGAGGCTCGGCTCCCGGCCCTCCCCTCCCCTTCCCCGGCCCTCCCCCTTCGCCCCCCCCCGCCCCCCTCCCCCCCCTTTCTTTTCTTCTCGGCCTCTGCTCGGGCCTGGAAGGCTCGGGGCTGCGGTCGGAGCCAGCCTGCGGCGGCGGGGCCAGGCCGAGCCGCCTCCCTCAGCGCCCAGCCATCTTGGGCTCCGCGGCGGCGGCCGGGGTCTGGGCGCGCTCGCTGAGGGGCCCGCGGCGTCCTCTCGCTCCTGCTTTTTTTTTTTCTAAGTGGGATTTTTTTTTTTTTCCAAGGGGAGGGCTGGCGGCCTCCAACAAATTAGGAGAGAGAGAGGGGAGAAAATGCCAAGTCCCGATTTCTCTCCACCTCTGCTCCACCCACCCCGGTCCTGTCCAAAAAATAAAAAAAGATGAGAATTGGAAGAAGTCGGCAGAAAGGCGAGCGCCCGCGGTCCCCGGCTGCTGCCCAGGCGACGCGTCCGGGGCGGGCCCGCGCCCGTCGCTCGATCCGTGGTCCGTCTGTCCGCCCGCGGCTTCTCAAGGGAGGGGAGGGCGCTCCGGGCAGGGTCTCCGCAGCCGCTGTCGCCTCAGAGCTTTATCCTCAGATCAAAAAAAAAAAAAAGGAAGAAAAAATCCCAACCCCAACACTCTCATCACAGCCACCTTCAGCCATCTTGCGCGTATTATTATTATTTCAGGAATAATCCGTTTAATAAAAATACCTGCGTCTCCAGCCCCTCCCCAGCGTCCTGGGGTCCCCGCCCCCTTTTAATAATAATCTCGATAATAAAAATGATCGGCTAGCCGGGCAGTCCGCGGCGGCCTTTTCCTGCCTCGACTTGCTCGGGCCCGGCTCACCCCTTGGGAAGGGGCGCCGCGAGGTGGGGGTGCGTCCCCGCCGCCCGCGCCGGGAGGAAAGGGCGCCCCCGCCGTCGCCGCGAGGAAAGCGGGCGGGGGAGAGGCCGCGGCCTGCGGGGCCCGCCAGAGAGGCACTCAGGGGTCCAGGCGCCCCCGCCACGGCCCGGCCTGGGAGTCAGCAGCCGGCCGTGTACAATGGGTTCGGAGCAGAGCTGGGCCAGCAGGGTGGGGACGCGGGCGGGCCAGGGGCTGCGGCGAGCTGGGCTACCCGGCTGGGGCGGAAAGAGGCGGGGGGGTGGTGTTCCTACATCAAGGCCGGTCCCGCTACTCGGGAAGGGGGCGGGGAGCCGAGGAGGGGGGAGGCGAGGAGAAAGCGGCAGGCGGCGCCTTCAATCAGCACCCGCAGGTTCTGCCCACCCGGCACTGGCTAAAGAAACCGGCGCGGGGGAGGGGAAGGGGCGGGGCGTGCTTTCCGGAAGTGGTGTTACAGCTGCCCGGCGCCTGGCTCCTCCCCATTTCCCTGTCGCGTTGGGGCCGTTCCGGAGGCTGCTCTTGCTATTGGTCCACAAGCTGAGGCTCCACCTCTTTAAGGCGGGGCAGACCTGAGAGTCTCACGTGACTCTCACAAACTTCGGTACATTAAACATTGGGATGGTGGGGGGGGGTTTCCGTGTTTCTTAAAAAGCGATGATGCCACGGCGTAGTGGGACCACTTCTTCCTGGGCCTGAAGTGAAGACCCGTAGCTCTTTTTACAGAGAGGGAAAGGAGCGTTTGTCGGTCTGCTCAGCAGTCCCGTGGAGCTGAGCAGGGAAATGCAAAGGTTCAGTGTGGGGCGATTTCCCTATGTCCTTAAATGCTTTTACCTTTATCCTTGGCGCTTTAAACTACCACGCAAAATAGGCATTTATCCCTCTATTGATAAGGAAACCAAGGCTTAAAGAACTGCAGAAATCTGCCAAGGTCAATGGTTGGTCAATAAATCTTTAACAAAAGGTTTTTCTAGGCCCTGGCAATTCCCTGAAAAACGTACAAAAAAATTTTAGTGTAAATCTACGTAGGACAATTTTCGTGATAAAGTATTAACAGTTTCACACAAAGGCTTTCTGAAAAAGTGACATTTGAGCTGAGACCTGAATGCACACGAAGAGTCAGACCGGTGACAACCTGGGGGAAGAGCTATCCAGTCAGAAGAGAAAACAAATGCAAAAGCAATAGAACAGGCAGGTTCCAGGACAGAAAGAAGGCCATGTGTCCAGGAAAAAAAAAGTAGGGGCCAGAACACACAGGGTCTTCCTTACAGTTTATGGTGAGAAGTTTGGACTTTAAGCTGGTTGTACCAGCTGTCAGATTTGGTATGTATTTTGGATTAAATATCAGGTTGATTAAATATCGGGTGGCGAGGAATCAGTACAATAATAGGAGGGGGGTAGAAATGGGATCAGGATGTACTTATCACCATATAAAGTATATCCTATACTAGATATAACATATATACTATACTACTATATTATTGTAAGTGTACTATATAAGTATAGTATATTAGCCAGACTCGGTGGTTTATGCCTGTAATCCCAGTATTTGGGAGGCTGAGACGGGTGGATCATGAGGTCAGGAGTTTGAGACTAACCTGGCCAACATGCTGAAACCCCATCTCTGCTAAAAATACAAAAATTAGCCAGGCATGGTGGCAGGCAACTGTAATCCCAGCTACTCAGGAGGCCGAGGCAGAAGAATCGCTTGAACCCGGGAGGCGGAGGTTGCAGTGAGCCGAGAGCACGCCATTGTCTTCCAGCCTGGGTGACAGCGAGACTCCGCCTCAAAAAAAAAGTATAGTATCTTATTAAAAGATACTATACATTGTTATAAATACACCATATAAGTATAGCATACTATTATATAATGTATTATATCTAGCATCAGATATACTGTATATGGTAAGTATATGGTATAAATATACTATATGTACTATATGTATTATAATATACCATATATTATATACATTATAATAATTATTTTTTGAGACGAGTTTCACTCTTGTCGCCCAACTGGAGTACAATGGCCCGATCTCAGCTCATTGCAACCTCTGCCTCTTGGGTTCAAACGATTCTCCTGCCTCAGCCTCCCAAGTAGCTGGAATTACAGGCATGTGCCACCATGCCCAGTTAATTTTGTATTTTTAGTAGAGATGGGGTTTTACCATGTTGGTTAGGCTGGTCTCAAACTCCTGACCTCAAGATCCACCTGCCTTGGACTCCCAAAGTGCTGGGATTACAGGTGTGAGCCACCGCACCTGGCTATACTATAATGTTTATAGTATATGTATATATATTTTTTTCCCTTCTATCCTCCAAAGATGCAGATCTCAACAAAAGGCTGATGGTAGCACCATTTACTAAGAAGGGGAAACTGAACAAGATTAGATGATTTGAGTAAGGGGATTTTCTTTTGTATTTTCTTTTCTTTTTTTTTTTTTTGAGACAGGGTTTCACTCTGTTGCCCTGGCTTGAGTGCAGTGGCACAATCATGGCTTACTGCAGCCTCAAGTTCCCAGGCTTAGGTGATCCTCCCTCAGCCTCCTGAGTAGCTAGGACTACAAGCGCACACCAACATACCCAGCTAAATTTCTTCTTTTTTTCTTTTTTTTTTTTTGAGACAGAGTCTTGCTCTGTTGCCAGGTGCCAGGCTGGAGTGCAGTGGCGTGAGCTTGGCTTACTGCAGCCTCTGCCTCTGGGGTTCAAGCAATGCTCCTGCCTCAGCCTCCCAAGTTATACCCAGCTAAATTTCTAAATTTTTGTATTTTTTTGTAGAGTCAGGGTTTTAGCATGTTGCCCAGACTGGTGAGTAATGGGATTTTCCAAGTTGAGATGGCTCATATCCCAGTAGAAATGTTGAGGAGACAATTGTATAGATAGGCCCAGTGGGGATGTTTGTCCTGGAGATAGGGATTTTGGAGTCATCAAAGATTATGTTCTAAATAGTAGAACTGAGATTGAAATCTAGTTCAGTATGACCTCTGGGTTCCTGATCCTCTGATGACAAAGCCTGTCTTTAGCACTTTTCATCTCTTCACATGGGGGGTCATATGTGGGGCAATCGAATATGTGAATGAATGTCTGAATGAGCAAACAAGGAGAAAAAGTGTCTTCTAAACCCTAATCCTCCAGTCCATGCTGTTAGGATGGTGCTAAGAAAGAAGGTCTAGCTTGGAGCAGTTGTAGGGTCCTTTCTGGCCTCCTCACCAATGACCCCCAGGATAAGCAATCTAAAGAATTCCTCACTGCTTGTCTTTTTAGAATACTCCCCTTGACTTGTAAGACATCATATGCTTCTCATTTTCTTCTTATCTTCTAATCATAGAAGCCTCCAATTTCCATATCATAAATGTTGGCAGTCCTCAAAGTTCTGCTTTCCATCCTCTTCTCTTACCCTGGGGCTATCTCATTTACTCCTGAACTTTATTACCATGTATATGCTGATGACTCCCCAGCAGTATCTCCAGGCTAAATCCTCATCTCCTGGTTGCAGATCCATAGAACTAACTATGCTGTCTGCACAGATGTCCCATAGGCACCTTGAATTCAATGTACTGGAAGCCAAACTCACCATCTTCACATTCCAGCCTGTTCTTCCTCCTGCACTCCCCAACTCAGTCATTGGACCTATCA